TCTACGTGACTTTACCGAAAGAACCGAGAAGATCAATTTCCATGCACAAGAATACGGGGCGATGTGATTACAAGACGCACTCAATAAAGTTGTACAAATCTGGTCACACACACCAGTACCGGATTATAAGACGCACTCAATAAAGTTATACACATCTGGTCACACACCAGTACCGGATTATAAGACGCACTCAATAAAGTTATACAAATATGGTCACACACAAGTACCGGATTATAAGACGCACTCAATAAAGTTATACAAATCTGGTCACCAGTACCGGATTATAAGACGCACTCAATAAAGTTGTACAAATCTGGTCACACACACAAGTACCGGATTATAAGACGCACTCAATAAAGTTGTACAAATCTGGTCACCAGTACCGGATTATAAGACGCACTCAATAAAGTTGTACAAATCTGGTCACACACACACAAGTACCGGATTATAAGACGCACTCAATAAAGTTGTACAAATCTGGTCACACACACACAAGTACCGGATTATAAGACGCACTCAATAAAGTTGTACAAATCTGGTCACAAGTGGCGACAAAGACAAAGGTCCCCCGTGTAGCCTTCAGCAGACTGTAGGGGCAAGTTTACTGCGCACCGCAACGGGTACTCGTTTTGAGGCTGAGTCGACCTAGGGGGAGACACAGGACCGGTTCGGTGGCCGTGAGCGGGAATCGAACTCGGCTCACAGCCGGTGTTCGTAGCGCTAACCGCTGCACCACCGCTCCCCCCCACAATGCACAGAGAGAGGGGGGAGGGGGGTCATTCAGCAGTGGAGTGACGCGCAATGCATCACTGTTAATTACGCAGAGAGCCTCGCGTTGTCAACATAACGCCGTGTTGTGTGTGGGGGGTGGGGGGGGTGGGGTGTGTGTGGGGGGGTGGGGGTGGGGTGTGGGGGGGGTGGGGGGTGTGTGTGGGGGGTGGGTGTGTGGGAGGTGTGCGTGGGGGGTGTGGGGGGTGTGGGGTGTGTGTGTGGGGTTTATGTGTGGGAGGGGTGGGTGGGTGTGTGGGGGTGTGGGTGGGTGGGTGGGTGTGTGGGGGTGTGTATGTGGGGGGAGTGGGTGGGGTGGGTGGGTGTGTGGGGGTGTGTATGTGGGGGGAGTGGGTGGGGTGGGTGGGTGTGTGGGGGTGTGTATGTGGTGTGTGTGGGAGTGTGGATGGGAGTGGGTGGGTGTGTGTGAAGGGGTGTGGGGTGTGTGTGGGGGTGGGTGTGTGGGAGGTGTGCGTGGGTGTGGGTGTGGGTGGGTGGGTGTGATGGGGTGTGTGGGGTGTGTGGGGTGTGTGTGTGGGGTTTATGTGTGGGAGGTGTGGGTGGGGGTGTGTATGTGGGGGGTGTGGGTGTCTGTGGGTCGGTGTGGGTGGGTGTGTGTGGGTGGCTGTGGGTCGGTGTAGGGGGGGTGTGAGTGGGGGGGTGTGGGTGGGTGGGGGGGTGGGTGTGGGTGGGTCTGGGGTGGTGTGTGGGGGGGGAGTGGGTGGGGTGGGTGGTTGTGTGTGTGTGGGAGTGTGTGATTGGGTGTTGGTGGGTGGGTGTGTGGGGATTGGGTGGATGGATGTGGCGGGGTGAGGGTGGGTGGGTGTGTGTGTGGGGGCGTGTGGGGGGTGTGGGTGGATGTGGGTAGGTGGGTGTGGGTGGGTGTGGGTGGGTGTGGGTGGATGGGTGTGGGGGGTGTGAGTGTGGGTGGGTCGGTGTGGGTGGGTGGCTGTGGGTGTGTGTGTGTGTGGGTGTCTGTGGGTCGGTGTGGGTGGGTGTGGGTGGGTGTAGGGGGCGGTGTGAGTGGGGGGGTGTGGGTGGGTGTGTGGGGTGTGGATGGGGTGTAGGTGTTGGTGTGGAGGAGTGTGTGTGTGGGGGGTGTGGGGGGATGTGGATGGGTGTGTGGGGTGTGTGTGAGTGGGTGTGGGGGGTGTGGGTGTGGGGGTGTGGGTGTGGGGGTGTGGGTGGGTGGCTGTGGGTGGGAGTGTGGGTGGGTGTGGGGGGTGTGTGTGGGTGGGTGTGTGGGGTGTGGGTGGGTGTGGGGGGTGTGGGGGGTGTGGGTGTGGGGGTGTGGGTGTGGGGGTGTGGGTGGGTGGCTGTGGGTGGGTGTGTGGGTGGGTGTGGGGGGTGTGTGTGGGTGGGTGTGTGGGGTGTGGGGGGTGTGGGTGTGGGTGGGTGGCTGTGGGTGGGGGTGTGGGTGGGTGTGGGGGGTGTGGAGGGGTGGGTGGGGGGAGTGGGGGGTGCGCGCACGGCATCGCTTTCACGCTAATTTGATGGCACGGTGTTTAAAAAAAAGACCCACAAAGACAAAAGGTCCCCCTTGTGTCGAGGTAGCCTCTCGCAGGCTGTCGGGGCAAGTGCAGTGAGATGTTAACTACCTCGCCTGGTCTACAGAAGGTCGTGGGTTCGATCCCGACCCTGACGATGCCTGCTGCTGTATATTTGGAGTTTGCGTGATGATCATCCGCCAACGTTGTTGAGGAGCTATCATTTGTGCTAGCCCAAGGTGTTAACTTCTGTGCCAGGCTAGGTGCAGGTGGAGGTCACGTGGACAGATCCAGGTGTAACCTGTTAACTGCTGTGCCAGGCTAGGTGCAGGTGGAGGTCACGTGACAGGCCCAGCAGGTGCCATGGGTTGAGTGCCGAGATGACTACTGACATACACACACAGCACACACACACACAGCATACACACACAGCACGCACACACAGCACACACACAGCACACCCACAGCACATACACACAGCATACACACACAGCATGCAGGCACACACACAGCACACACATAGCACACACACACAGCACACACAGCATACACACACAGCACACACACACACAGCACACACACACAGCACACACACAGCATACAGCACACACACATCACACACACACACCATACACACACAGCACACACACACACCATACACAGCACACACACACACCATACACACAGCGCACACACACACAGCATACAGCACACACATCATACACACACAGCACACACACACACAAAACACACACAGCATACACACAGCACACACAACACACACACAACACACAGCACACACTCCATACACACACAGCACACACACACAGCACACACACACAGCATACACACAGCATGCAAGCACAGACAGCTGTCCAGCGAGCGTTCCGCGTTGCGAGCGAGAGGAGATTTGCGTTGTTGGCTGGGCACGATCCCGTTTGGGGCGAGAAAGCGAATCAATGTAACACGCACATTTGTTTTGGGTTAATTACACAATCCCTGAATTGATCTCACACGCACACACGCACGCACGTGTCATTAATCACAATGCTGCATTAACCAGGCTGGGTTTATTCATTATCATCATCAACATTACGGAGTTGATGATGATGATGCGTTTGTAACAAAGGTGGCATGGATGCGTTTGTGTAGCCTGTAACAGACTGTAGGGGCAAGTGCTGTTAGCGAGCACCTATGAAGGCCGGCACGGCACACGAGGGGGTGGGTGGCCAGCACCACACCCGACCGCCTTTGTCTCCCTAGTGGTGATGTTTAAACACCGCACCAGGTACTCATTTGAGGCTGATTCGACCTAGGGGAGGCCCAGGACCGGTTCAGATAATCATCACTGGTGTTGGCCGTGAGCGGGAATTGAACTCGGGTCGCCAGGTTCGTAGCGCAGCGTAGCGCTAACCACTGCGCCACCGCTCCCCACAGACACACACACACACAGACAGACACACACACAGACAGACACACACAGACACACACGAACAACAACAACAACAGCCATTCGCCACTAAGTAGCGGTGACGTCACCACGACGCTTGTGCCAGGCCATGTGCACCTTGAGGCCACGTGAAGTGTCGAACGCCCGCTGGCAGGAGGTCACGGGGCAGACCCAGCAGGTGCCACAGGTCGACTGACTAAGATGACCGAGATGACTGGCTGATGCACCACCTGTGCCCCCTACTGTGCCAACTTGCTGTGCTTTAGCCACCCGGCGCTCCGCTCATTGTTGTGAGCGTCGCTCCTCCGCCCTCCGTTGTTGTTGGAGGGCGACTGCCTCCAACTGCCCAGCAGCGTCCTTCACGAGCCTCCTCCACAGAGGCTGATCTTGACACCGCTGGTACCAGTCATCGGCAAGTCAACTCAGCTCCACGTCCTCCTGTACCGCATCACTCCATCTCTTCTCTAGCCCGTGCCGCGCCCGTTTAGCCCCCTCGATCCGGCCGAACAAAAGCTGTTTAGGCATGCGGTGGCTGGGCATGCGGGCTACATGACCCAGCCAACGCAACCTTGCCTGCCGGAGGAGCTCACTGATGGGACTTTGCCCAGATCTTTCAAGGATTTGTGAGCTCCTCACACAATCCAGCCTGGTTAAACCCAGGATGGATCGTAGACAGGCCAGCCTAAATGTTTCTAACCGGCGAAGATGCTCCATTAGGGGGGGTCCACGTTTCACAAGCGTAGAGAAGGGAGGGAATGACCGTGGCCGAGAAGACCCGAAGCTTCGTGCGGAGCGACAGACCAGGTAGCTTCCACACAGCGTTACGCAACCGATTAAAAGATAATGCCGCTCGACTGATTCGGAGTGAGACCTCTGCTTTTAAACTGGAGCCGCTCATGAGCACACTGCCCAGGTATGGGAAACTCTCCACTCTCTCCAAAACTGCCCCATCACACACACACAGACACACGGACACACACACAGACACACACACGCACAGACACACACGCACACACACAGACATACACGCACAGCATAGACACACAGATACATACAGACATACACGCACAGACACATACAAACACACGCACAGACACGGACACACAGACACACGCACAGACACACACGCAGACATACACACAGACACACACACAGAAACACACGCACACACACACACACACGGACACGCACAGACTTTTTCGGACACAGACAAAGATCCCCCGTATAGCCTTAACAGACTGTTGGGGCAAGTGCTGTTAGCGAGCACATATGAAGGCCGGCACGGCATGCGAGGGGGTGGGTGGCCAGCACCACGCCCGACCGCCTTTGTCTCCCTAGTGGCGATGTTTACTACACACCGCACCAGGTAATCATTTGAGGCTGAGTCGACCGAGGGGAGGCCCAGGACCGGTTCAGATAATCGTTACCGGTGTTGGCCATGAGCGGGAATCGAACCCAGGTCACCAGGTTCGTAGCGCAGCGCATACAGAGACACACGCACGCACAGACACACACACATGCACGCAGACACACAGACACACGCACGCACACACACAGACAAACACACACAGATAAACCACAGATACATGCACGCACACACACACACAGACACACACAGACACACGCACACACAGACACACGCACGCAAACACACAGACACACGCACGCACACACATAGACACGCACGCACACAGACGCACAGACAGACACACACACGCACACATGCACAGACACACACACGCACACATGCACAGACACACACACGCACGCACAACCGCTCAGAGTGAATGTGTTGCGTGTGTCTGTGTGTGTGTGTGTGTTACTGTGCGTGTGTGTCTGTGTGTGTGTGCGTGCGTGTGTCTGTGTGTCTGTGTGTGTCTGTGTGTGTGTGCGTGTCGCACGCCCATCCGCCCACCCATTCACTCAGTCAGAGCGGCCCAGCCTGGCAACCCGCGTGCCACAGACAAAGCCGCCGGCTCCAGCGGAGCGAGGCGGACAAGATTCACGCAGCGGCACAGAACAGCTGGTCCCGGCTGAACAAGAACAACAGCCGAACAAACAACAGCCGACGAAATGAAACAGCCGAAAGGCTGAACCGAACCCACGGCTGACCAACCAAACGGACGTACGGATCGACATCCAAACAGCTGAACAGCCGAGAAACTGAACAGGTGAACGGCTGAACAGCTGAACAGGTGAACAGCCGAGCAACTGAACAGGTGAACGGCCGAACAGGTGAACGGACCGAACGACTGAACAGCTGAGAAACTAGACGGGTGAATAGGTGAGTCATCAAACACACGCACATCACACAAATACACCACACACCACACAAACACATACATCACACCACACACCACACAAACACACCACGCAATCACACACCACACAAACACACACAATCACACGCACACCACACAAACACACCACGCAATCACACACCACAAACACACACCACACAAACACACAACACACAAACAATCACACGCACACCACACAAACACAATCGCACGCACACAAACACATACCATCACATGCGCACCACACACACAACACAATCACACAACACATACACACACCACACAATCACACCACACATACACACCACACACACCACACACCAAACACCACACAGCACACACCACACACACCACACACACCACACACACACCACACACCACACACACAACACACCAAACACCACACAGCACACACACCACACACACCACACACCACACATACACACCACACACACACCACACACCACACACACCACACACACACCACACACCACACACACCACACACCAAACACCACACAGCACACACCACACACACCACACACCACACACACACCACACACACACCACACACCACACACACCACACAGCACACACACCACACATTCACACCACAATCACACCACACACACCACACAGCACACAAACACACCACACACACACACACACACACACCACACACACCACACAATCACACAAGTTGGGTGGGTCTGTGGAGGTCTTCCAGCCCCTGCTGCTGCTGCTGCTGTTGTTGCTGCTGCTGCTGCTGTTGTTGTTGTTGCATTTGTCAGGGCGGTTTTCGTCGTCTCAAGCTCCACGCCGAGCTGGGCTGGTGGACGGTCAGTCGGGCGGTCAGCCGGACAGACGGTCAGTCAGAAGGACAGTCAGACGGGCAGTCAGTCGGAAAGGTCAGCCAGACAGTCGGACGGACAGTCAGTCGGGCGGTCAGCCGGACGGGCGGTCGGTCAGAAGGACAGTCGGACGGACAGTCAGTCGGGCGGTCAGCCGGACGGGCGGTCGGTCAGAAGGACAGTCGGACGGACAGTCAGTCGGGCGGTCAGCCGGACGGGCGGTCGGTCAGAAGGACAGTCGGACGGACAGTCAGTCGGGCGGTCAGCCGGACGGGCGGTCGGTCAGAAGGACAGTCGGACGGACAGTCAGTCGGGCGGTCAGCCGGACAGACGGTCAGTCAGAAGGACAGTCGGACGGACAGTCAGTCGGGCGGTCAGCCGGACGGGCGGTCGGTCAGAAGGACAGTCGGAGGGTCAGTCAGAAGATCAGTCAGTAGGTCCATCAGGTCAGTCAAAAGGTCAGTCAGAAGATTAGTCAGTAGGTCGGTCAGGTGAGTCAGAAGATCAGTCAGAAGATCAGTCAGAAGGTCGGTTAGGTGAGTCAGAAGATCAGTCAGAAGGTCGTCAGGTCAGTCAGAAGATCAGTCAGAAGATCAGTCAGTAGGTCGGTCAGGTCAGTCAGAAGGATCAGTCAGAAGATCAGTCAGAAGGTCGGTTAGGTGAGTCAGAAGATCAGTCAGAAGGTCGTCAGTAGGTCGGTCAGGTGAGTCAGAAGATCAGTCAGAAGGTCGTCAGGTCAGTCAGAAGATCAGTCAGAAGATCAGTCAGAAGGTCGTCAGGTCAGTCAGAAGATCAGTCAGAAGATCAGTCAGTAGGTTGGTCAGGTCGGTCAGAAGATCAGTCAGAAGATCAGTCAGAAGGTCGTCAGGTCAGTCAGAAGATCAGTCAGAAGATCAGTCAGAAGGTCGGTTAGGTGAGTCAGAAGATCAGTCAGAAGATCAGTCAGTAGGTTGGTCAGGTCGGTCAGAAGATCAGTCAGAAGATCAGTCAGAAGGTCGGTTAGGTGAGTCAGAAGATCAGTCAGAAGGTCGGTTAGGTGAGTCAGAAGATCAGTCAGAAGGTCGGTCAGCTGAGTCCGACGGTCGGTCGTAGGGTCGAGCTCGCGGGCGCCATGGACAACTTCACGGTGGAGCTGTCCGGGGAGGACTTCACCAACGTCACCTTCTTCAGCAGCGCCGTGCTGGACGACTCCACCACCAACAACACCAACAACAACACCACCACCAACAACAACACCACCAACAACACCACCACCACCAACAACAACACCATCGACTTCCTCAACTCCTCGTCGTCATGGCTGTGGGACTCCGTCCTGGAGAACATCACGGACGGAGGTTTGGAGCTGGGGGTCACGCCCCCCACCGCGTCACCCCCGTGCGGTAGCAGCGACGGCAACGGCGGAGAAGGTGGACTACTCTCCACCATCGCCACCGCCACCGCCACCACGGGCCCCACCGTGTCGCCCATCTGGGACTCGCCGCTCAACCCCATCATCAGCGTGTACGTGGCCGTGGTGCTGGCCTTCACCATGCTGGGCATGGGCTGCACGGTGGAGCTCGGCCAGTTGAGCCACCACCTCCGGAGGCCCGCAGGGGTCCTCATCGCCGCCCTGGCGCAGTTTGCGGTGATGCCTTTCGTGGCGTTCGCCATGGCCAACGCGTTCGCGCTGGGCGAGGCGGCCGCGGTGGCGGTGCTGGTGTGCGGATGCTGCCCCGGCGGGACGCTGTCCAACATCATGTCGCTGTTCATCGACGGAGATATGAACCTCAGGTGAGGTGGCGGTGGTAATGGTGGTGATGGTGGTGATGGGGTGGATGGGATGATGGTTGTAGGATGATGATTGAGGATGATGATGAGATGATGATATGAATGATGGTGGCGATGGGGTGGATGGGATGATGATTGTAAGGATGATGATTTGGGATGACGATGATGAGATGGTGAGATGGCATGATGATGGTGAGATGGATGAGATGAATGAGATGGTGGTGATGGTGGCGATGGGGTGAATGGGATGATGGTTGTAAGATGATGATTGAGGATGATGATGGTGAGATGATGAGATGAATGAGATCGTGGTGGTGATGATGGAATGGTGGTGGCGAGATGGGGTGGGATGATGATCCTGCAGACATGAACCTCAAGTGGGCTGGTGGTGATGATGGTGGCGATGGTGGTGATGGTGGCGATGGTGGTGATGGGGTGGATGGGATGATGGTTGTAAGGATGATGATTGAGGATGATGATGAGATGGTGAGGTGTCATGATGATGGTGATATGGATGATATGGATGAGCACGCACCTCAAAGAAAAACCTGACGTTGGCTGTAATTGGCCCACGGCCCCTTACGTTGTGGCAAACTTCGGGGCCACTTCCTGGAGTCGTGGAGTTCTTCCATTACTAGTACATTTCATAGAAGCGTGTTTTTAAAAAAAGTGTTTTATTTAAAAATGACTTATTCTGAAGTGTACTTCATACTGAAGTGTCTCAAAAGCGGCGAGCGTAAAATTCAAACTCCACTCATCGATTTCAATCTGAGCGAAATGGAAAGATGGTAAGAATATGAACTGCTCTCGAAATTCCAATACAATTACGTTGCGAGAGGAGCGATGTTGACTACGCACCGCACCAGGTACTCATTTGAGGCTGAGTCAACCTAGGGGAGGCCCAGGACCGGTTCAGGTGTTGGTGGTGGCCGTGAGCGGGAATCGAACTCGGGTCGCCGGGTTCGTAGCGCGGCGTAGCGCTAACCGCAGCACCACCACTCCCCACGACTGGACGGATAACGTAGCAGCAGCATCATCATCAGCAGCAACATCATCAGCATCATTATGATCATCATCAGCAGCAGCATCATCAGCATCATTATCATCATCATCAGCAGCAGCAGCATCGTCATCATCGTCATCATCATCATCAACATCATCAACCTCATCATCGTCATCGGCATCATCATCATCAACATCATCATCGTTATCAACATCGTCATCAACATCGTCATCAACATCATCATCATCAACATCATCAACATCAACATCATCAACATCGTCATCAACATCATCATCGTCATCAACATCATCATCAGCAACATCGTCATCATCATCAATATCATCGTCATCAACATCATCATCATCGTCATCAACATCATCATCATCAACATCATCATCAGCATCATCGTTATCAACATCATCAGCATCATCAACATCATCATCATCGTCATCAACATCATCATCAGCATCGTCATCAACATCATCATTATCATTGTCCTCAACATCATCATCATCGTCATCAGCATCATCATCAACATCATCATCAGCATCATCGTCATCATCAACATCATCATCATCAACATCATCAGCATCATCAACATCATCGTCATCAACATCATCATCAACATCATCAGCATCATCAACATCATCATCGTCATCAACATCATCATCATCAACATCATCGTCATCAACATCATCAACATCATCATCATCAACATCATCGTCATCAACATCATCATCAGCATCATCATCAACATCATCAGCATCATCAACATCATCATCAACATCATCGTCATCATCAACATCATCATCAGCATCATCATCAACATCATCAGCATCATCAACATCATCATCAACATCATCGTCATCATCAACATCATCATCATCATCGTCGTGATCTCCGCCAGGACGGCATCGTCTGAAGACCTGCTTCTCGTGCCGATATTCTGAGAACCGCGATGGAAATTCTGTCACGGAAGTCGCCACGATTCATCTAAGCGACCAAGAGGAGCGTGGCACGCGTAGACACGGAGCCAGGGGGTCTCCATCAGGGTGATGGGGGTGATGGGGGGGAGAGAGAGACAAAGACGGACGGGCGTGGGTGCTGGCCACCCACCCACCCCCTCGTGTGCCGTGCCGGCCTTTATAGGTGCTGCCACTCGCTAACAGCACTTGCCCCAACAGTCTGCGCAGACTACCCGGGGGATCTTTGTCTTGTTGTGTATAGGGGGGGAGACAAAGACGGCCGGGCGTGGTGCTGGCCACCCACCCCCTCGTGTGCCGTACCGGCCTTCATAGGTGCTCGCTAACAGCACTTGCCCCTACAGTCTGTTAAGGCTACACGGGGGATCTTTGTCTCTGTCTCGGCGAGGGGGGAGCGGTGGCGCAGCGGTTAGTGCTACGCTGCGTCACGAGCCTGGAGACCCGAGTTCGATTCCCGCTCACGGCCAACACCGGTGACGATTATCTGAACCGGTCCCGGGCCTCCCCTAGATCGACTCAGCCTCAATTGAGTAGCCATGGTACGGTGTGTAGTAAACATCGTCACTGGGGAGACAAAGGCGGCCGGGCGTGGTGCTGGCCACCCACCCACCCCCTCGTGTGCCGTGCCGGCCTTCATAGGTGTTCGCTAACAGCACTTGCCCCAACAGTCTGTTACAGGCTACACGGGGGATCTTTATATTTGTATCGCTACCCAGCCTCCGTATGTGTCTCCTGTTACTCGGGCACAGGATAGTTGAAGCAAGCGTTACATTCTAGATGTGAAGCTTTCGTGACTGCAAGGATTCATATTCTTAGTTTTTTTCGGTAAAGTCACGTAGGTAAAAAATTAAAATGAATAAAAGTAAAATAAAAATAAAATAAAAATCACGACGTTTCGGAGGCAACACAAGCTTCCGTCTTCAGGTGGAACCGTCACAGCACGATAGCTGTATCAAGTGATTTTAATTTTATTTTAATTTTACTAATTTTTATTTTTTACCTACGTGACTTTACCGAAAAAAACCTAAGAATATCAATCTTCACGTTTCTTTTCCTCCAGATTAAAAACAATATCTATCATGGCACGATCATAGGCTAGGACTACTTTGGAAACGGTGGCGAGGAGATGTTGACTACCTCGCCTGGTCTACAGGAGGTCGTGGGTTCGATCCCGACCCTGACGACGCCTGCTGCTGTATTTTTGGAGTTTGCGTGTCTCTCTCTCATCATCACCACGGTGGCTAGGAGATGTTAACTACCTCGCCTGGTGTACAGGAGGTCGTGGGTTCGATCCCAACCCTGACGCCTGCTGCTGTATATTTGGAGTTTGTGTGTCTCTCTCTCCCCGTGGTGAGATGTTAACTACCTCGCCTGGTCTACAGGAGGTCGTGGGTTCGATCCCGACCCTGACGACGTCTGCTGCTGTATATTTGGAGTTTGCGTGTCTCTCTCTCTCCGTGGTGAGATGTTGACTACCTCGCCTGGTCTACAGGAGGTCGTGGGTTCGATCTCGACCCTGACGACGCCTGCTGCTGTATATTTGGAGTTTGCGTGTCTCTCTCTCATCATCATCATCACGGTGGCTAGGAGATGTTAACTACCTCGCCTGGTGTACAGGAGGTCGTGGGTTCGATCCCGACCCTGACGACGCCTGCTGCTGTATTTTTGGAGTTTGCGTGTCTCTCTCTCTCTCCGTAGCCGCGTGGATTTTTCTCCGGGTCCCCACCGGTTTTTCTCCCGTCCGTGTTTCGAATCAACGTCAGTGAGATATCAATTGTTGGCCAGGTCGTTTCTGAAACAACAATTTCGAGTTAATAAATACAGTCAGCACAGTGGCCCTTACGTGGTGGAAATAAATGAACGTTTTGAGGCTGAGTCGACCTAGGGGAGGCTCGGGACCCGGTTCAGATAATCGTCCCTGCGGTCCATCCCAGAGAGGCACAGAGACCCACAGAGACCCACAGAGACACAGACTCATAGAGACCCACAGAGACTCACAGAGACTCAGACCCATAGAGACTCACAGAGACCCACATAGACTCACAGAGACCCACAGAGACTCACAGAGACTCAGACCCACAGAGACCCACAGAGACACAGACCCATAGAGACCCACAGAGACTCAGACCCACAGAGACCCACAGAGACTCAGACCCATAGAGACCCACAGAGACTCAGACCCACAGAGACCCACAGAGACTCAGACCCATAGAGACCCACAGAGACTCAGACCCACAGAGACCCACATAGACACAGACCCATAGAGACCCACAGAGACTCAGACCCACAGAGACCCACAGAGACTCAGACCCATAGAGACCCACAGAGACTCAGACCCACAGAGACCCACAGAGACTCAGACCCATAGAGACCCACAGAGACTCAGACCCACAGAGACCCACAGAGACCCACCGAGACCCACAGAGACCCACAGAGACTCAGACCCACAGAGACCCACAGAGACTCAGACCCACAGAGACCCACAGAGACCCACTGAGACTCACAGATTAGCACGGTTGGCTACGTACGGTGCGAAAGAAGTTCAACACACGCACACACGCGCGTGCGTACACGTGTGTGTGCGTGCGTACACGTGTGTGTGCGTGCGTACACGTGTGTGTGCGTGTGCGTACACGCGTGTGTGCGTGTGCGTACACGCGTGTGTGCGTGTGCATACACGTGTGTGTGCGTGCGTACACGTGTGTGTGCGTGTGTACACGTACACGTGTGTGTGCGTGCGTACACGTGTGTGTGCGTGTGTACACGTACACGTGTGTGTGCGTGCGTACACGTGTGTGTGCGTGTGTACACGTACACGTGTGTGTGCGTGTGCGTACACGTGTGTGTGCGTGCGTACACGTGTGTGTGCGTGAGTACACGTGTGTGTGTACACGTGTGTGTACACGTACACGTGTGTGTGTGTGCGTACACGTGTGTGTGTACACGTGTGTGTGTGTGCGTACACATGTGTGTACACGTGTGTGTACACGTGTGTGTGCGTGCGTACACGTGTGTGTGTGTGCGTACACGTGTGTGTGTACACGCGTGTGTGTGTGCGTACACGTGTGTGTACACGTGTGTGTGTGTACACGTGTGTGTGTGTGTACACGTGTGTGTGTGTACACGTGTGCGTGCGTGCGTACACGTGTGTGTACACGTGTGTGTATGTGTACACGTGTGTGTGTGTACACGTGTGTGTGTACACGTGTGTGTGTGCGTGTGTACACGTGTATGTGTGTGTGTACACGTGTGTGTGTGTGTATGTGTGTGTGTGTACACGTGTGTATGTGTGCGTGTGTACACGTGTGTGTGTGTGTACACGTGTGTGTGTGTACACGTGTGTGTGTGTGTGTGTTCAAACCCACAGAGCTTGTCCGTCAACAAGAAGCTTTATTATCTCCTCGTCGCTGTTGCCGTTGTCTCTGTGCTTGCTCCGTGCTAAACACAACACGCGCATCACAGAGACCCCCCCCCGTCTCTCTCTCTCACTCATCCCGGTTACTTCGTCTAAGCAGGGACCAGTGTGTGATGATGGTGATGATGATGATGTGTGTGGTGTGTGTGGTGATGGTGATGATGATGGTGATGTGATGATGATGTGATGATGGTGATGATGATGTGATGATGGTGATGATGGTGATGATGTGATGATGTGTGTGATGATGATGTGATGATGGTGATGTGATGATGTGTGTGATGATGGTGGTGATGTGTGTGATGATGATGGTGATGTGTGTGGTGATGGTGATGATGATGGTGATGTGTGTGGTGATGGTGGTGATGATGATGGTGGTGATGATGTTGATGGTGATGTGTGTGATGATGGTGATGTGTGTGATGATGGTGATGATGGTGATGTGTGTGGTGATGGTGAGTGTGATGATGTGTGTGATGATGATGGTGGTGGTGATGATGTGATGTGATGATGATGATGGTGATGATGATGGTGATGATGGTGATGTGATAATGATGATGATGGTGGTGATGATGGTGCTGTGATGATGGTGATGATGTTGGTGAAGATGATGATGGTGGTGATGATGGTGATGTGATGATGGTGATGATGGTGATGATGATGATGATGGTGGTGATGGTGGTGATGATGGTGATGTGGTGATGGTGGTGATGATGGTGATGTGATGATGGTGATGGTGAAGATGATGATGGTGGTGATGATGGTGATGTGATGATGGTGATGGTGGTGATGATGGTGATGTGGTGATGGTGGTGATGATGGTGATGTGATGATGGTGATGATGATGATGGTGGTGATGATGGTGATGTGGTGATGTGATGGTGGTGATGATGATGGTGGTGATGGTGGTGATGATGGTGATGTGGTGATGGTGGTGATGATGGTGATGTGATGATGGTGATGATGGTGGTGATGATGGTGATGTGATGATGGTGATGGTGGTGATGATGGTGATGTGGTGATGGTGGTGATGATGGTGATGTGATGATGGTGATGATGTGTATCTCCATGGGTCTCTATGTATCTCTATGAGTCTCTGTGTGTATGTGTATCTCTCTATGAGTCTCTGTGTATCTCTACGAGTCTCTGTGTATCTCTACGAGTCTCTGTGTATCTCTATGAGTCTCTGTGTATCTCTATGAGTCTCTGTGTATCTCTACGAGTCTCTGTGTATCTCTTCTGTGTGTCTCTATGAGTCTCTGTGTGTCTCTATGAGTCTCTGTGTATCTCTATGAGTCTCTGTGTATCTCTACGAGTCTCTGTGTATCTCTCTGAGTCTCTGTGTTTCTCTACAAGTCTTTGTGTATCTCCCCGAGTCTGTGTATCTCCCCGAGTCTCTGTGTATCTCTATGCGTCTCTGTGTGTCTCTATGAGTCTCTGTGTATCTCTATGAGTCTCTGTGTATCTCTGAGTCTGTGTATCTCTATGAGTCTCTGTGTATCTCTGTGTATCTCTATGAGTCTCTGTGTATCTCTATGAGTCTCTGTGTGTCTCTATGAGTCTCTGTGTGTCTCTATGAGTCTTTGTGTGTCTCTATAAGTGGCGGTGTATATCTCTGTATCTCTATGAGTCTCTGTGTATCGCTATGAGTCTCTGTGTATCTCTATGAGTCTCTGTGTATCTCTACGAGTCTCTGTGTGTCTCTGAGTCTCTGTGTATCTCTATGAGTCTCTATGTGTCTCTATGAGTCTCTGTGTATCTCCCTGAGTCTCTATGTATCTCTATGAGTCTCTGTGTGTCTCTGAGTCTCTGTGTATCTCTATGAGTCTCTGTGTGTCTCTATGAGTCTCTGGATCTCTGTGTATCTCAACGAGTATCTGTGTATCTCTATGTATCTCTATGAGTCTCTGTGTATCTCTATGAGTCTCTGGGTCTTTGTGTATCTCCCTGAGTCTCTGTGTGTCTCTACGAGTCTCTGTGTATCTCTTCTATGTATCTCTGAGTCTATCTCTATGCGTCTCTATGTATCTCTGAGTCTCTGTGTGTCTCTGAGTCTCTGTGTATCTCCATGGGTCTCTGTGTGTCTCTATGAGTCTCTATGTATCTCTACGAGTCTCTGTGTATCTCTACGAGTCTCTGTGTATCTCCATGGGTCTCTGTATCTCTATGAGTCTCTGGATCTCTGTGTGTCTCTTTGAGTCTCTGTGTATCTCTATGAGTCTCTGTGTATCTCTATGAGTCTCTGTGTATCTCTATGTATCTCTATGAGTCTCTGTGTATCTCTATGAGTCTGTGTATCTCCATGGGTCTCTGTGCATATCTATGAGTCTCTGTGTATCTCTGAGTCTCTGTGTATCTCTATGAGTCTCTGTGTATCTCTGAGTCTCTGTGTATCTCTATGAGTCTCTGTGTGTCTCTATGAGTCTCTGTGTATCTCTATGAGTCTCTGTGTATCTCTATGAGTCTCTATGAGTCTCTGGATCTCTGTGTATCTCTATGAGTCTCTGTGTATCTCTCCGAGTCTCTGTGTATCTCTATGAGTCTCTGTGTGTCTCTATGAGTCTCTGTGTGTCTCTATGAGTCTCTGTGTATCTCTGAGTCTGTGTATCTCTATGAGTCTCCGTGTATCTCTATAAGTCTCTGTGTGTCTATGTGTATCTCTATGAGTCTATGTGTATCTCTATGAGTCTCTGTGTGTCTCTATGAGTCTCTGTGTATCTCTGAGTCTGTGTATCTCTATGAGTCTCTGTGTATCTCTATGAGTCTCTGTGTGTCTCTATGAGTCTTTGTGTGTCTCTATAAGTGGCTGTGTATCTCTATGTATCTCTATGCGTCTCTGTGTATCTCTATGAGTCTCTGTGTGTCTCTACGAGTCTCTGTGTATCTCCCTGAGTCTCTGTGTATCTCTATGAGTCTCTGTATATCTCTATGAGTCTCTATGTGTCTTTATGAGTCTCTGTGTATCTCTATGAGTCTCTGTGTGTCTCTATGGGTCTATGAATATCTCTATGAGTCTTTGTGTATCTCTGTGTATCTCTATGAGTATCCGTGTGTCTCCATGAGTCTCTGGATCTCTGTGTATCTCAATGAGTCTCTCTGTATCTCTATGAGTCTCTGTGTATCTCCCTGAGTTTCTCCCCCCCCAACCCCCCACCCCCCACTCAGCATCATCATGACGGCCTCGTCGGCTCTGCTGGCGCTGCCGCTGATGCCGCTGTGCCTCTGGGTCTACAGCCGCCACTGGCTCGACACGCCCGTCGTGCAGATGCTGCCCTTCGGCGCCATCGCGCTCACGCTCTGCGGCACGCTGGTGCCGCTCGCCGCCGGCGCTGTGCTGCGACATCGCGCACCGGGCGCCGCAGACGTCATCCTCAAGGTGGACAGCACAGGCCGGACCAGGCCGGACAGGGCTGACAAGGCCTGACCAGGCTGACCAGGCCTGACTAGGCCTGACTCGACCTGCATAGGCCTGACCAGGCTGGAGAGGCCTGACCAGGCTGGACAGGCCTGACTAGACCTGACCAGGCCTGTCCAGGCAGGAGAGGCCTGTCCAGGCAGGAGAGGCCTGACCAGCCTGGACAAGCCTGTCCAGGCTGGACAGGCCTGACCAGGCCTGACAGGCCGACAGAGAGAGAAGGGCGGGGGAGGGGGGTGCAATGGAGAGAGAGTACAACGCCTTACTAACAACACGTGATGCCTTGCCAACACGCAACGCCTAACTAACACGCAACGCCTTACCGACATACACCTTCCTAACATACAACGCCTTACTAACACACAACACCTTACTAACTTAATACCAATACTAAGTGACGGTGACGTCACCACGGCGGCTGGGCCAGGCCAGGTGCACTTTGAGGCCACGTGAAGTTGTCGAAAGCTCGCTGCTGAGAGGAGATCACGGGACAGACCCAGCAGGTGCCATGGGTTGGCTGACTTGAGATGACCGGTAGATGCACCACCAGCTGTGCCCCCTACTGTGCCAACTCGCTGTGTTTTAGCCGCCCGGCGCTCCGCTCGTTATTGTGAGCGTCACTCCTCCGCCCTCCGTTGTTGCTGGAGGGCGACTGCCTCCAACTGCCCAGTAGCAGCGTCCTTCACGAGCCTCCTCCACAGAGGCCGATCTTGACACCGCTGGTACCAGTCGTTGGCAAGTCCACTCAGCTCCACATCCTCCTGTACCACATCACTCCATCACTTCTCCAACCCATGGCGTGGCGGGCATACGGGCTACGTGACACAGCCAACGCAGCCTTGCCTGCCGGAGGAGCTTACCGAGATCTTTCATGGATTTATGAGCTCCTCACACAATCTAGCCTTGGTTAAACCCAGAATGGATCGTAAGCATGCCAGCCTGAATGTTTATAATCGGCGCAGATTAGAGGGGTCGACTTTCACAAGCGTAGAGAAGGGAGGGAATGACTGTGGCCGAGAAGACCCGAAGCTTCGTGCGGAGCGACAGACCAGGTAGCTTCCACACAGCATTGTGCAGCCGATGAAAAAACATTGCTGCCCGACTGAATTGGAGTGACACTTCTGCTGTCAAACCAGAGCTGGTCATAAGCATTCTGCCCAGGTATGGGAAACTCTCCACTCCATAACTGCTCCATCACCAATGGGGAGTTGAGGGGGTGGAGTGTACTATGGTACAAAATACTCAGGCAGGTGCTTAGTTTTGGTGGGGCTGATGGTAAGGCCTCACCTCTTAGTGGCAAGCTCCAGGTTCAGCAGCAGCACCTCCGACTCCTCCTCTGAGTGAGCAGCAATCACCAGATCATCGGCATACATAACGTGGTTGACCAATAGGGAGCCATCCTTTGACCGCATCCGGGTATCGATAAGCCTCCCATTGTATCTGTACCAGATGGAAATTCCTCCGGTACAGCTATTGAAGGCTTCACGAACTACGTGGTCAAAATGATGTTAAATAATGTAAGACATCCCTGTCGCACCCCCAAGGTGAACAGGGAATTGCTCAGACTCTCGGCCACGTAGCATTACTCGGGCCCGCTCACCATCATGAAGGACCTTAATGATGATCGTGAGCAGAGAGGTCAGGGACTCCGAAAGCACGAAGAACAACCCAGAGCCCAGGCCTACTGATGGTATCATAGTCCCTTAACCAGGTCAATAAAGCAGAGACGTAGGTCAACAACAACAACAACCACGATGACCAATCATCATCGTCGTCATTGTCGTTATCATCTTGACGACGACGTGAACCCCACCCTCCCCCCCAGGTGTCCGTGTGGCTGCTACTGCCCATTCTCGGCGTCCTCTTCATCCTCACCGGCTCCCTGCTGGGCCCCGACCTCATGGGCCAGCTGCCCGCCACCGTCTACCTCGTCGCGGTCCTCATGCCCCTCGTCGGCTACGGCATCGGCTTCGGCCTCGCCAGGCTCTGCCGCCTGCCCCCCTCGCTGTGTCGCACCATCTCGATGGAGACGGGATGCCAGAACGTCCAGCTGTGCACCGCCATCCTCAAGCTGACCTTCCACCCGGAGGCCATCGGCGCCATCTTCCTCTTCCCGCTCCTCTACGCCCTCTTCCAGGCGGCCGAGGCCGGCCTCTTCATCGTCGCCTACCGCGTGCGGAGGGCCAGGCAGCGGGCCGCGGGAGGCCGGGTCGCGGGCGACGGCGGCGACGATGACGACGACGAGGGGGGTTCGGACATCACGTACCGGAAGCTCAAGGAGGACGACGGGGGGCTGCCCAGGGAGGCCACCTACGGATCGGTGGATGCCAAGGAGAGGCACGCGGGTCCCGTGGGCGACGCGGGCGACGATGCTGTGAGGTCCACGTACGTGTGAGTGGGTGGGCGAGTGGGTGGGCGAGCGGGCGGATGGGCGGGTGGGTGGGCGAGCGAGCGAGCGGGTGGGCGAGCGGGTGGGCGAGCGGGTGGGCGAGCGGGTGGGCGGGCGGGTGGGCGGGCGAGCGGGTGGGCGAGCGGGCAGGTGGGCAAGTGGGTGGGCGAGCGGGTGAGCGGTAAGCGGTTAGCACTACGTAACCCCTGGGGGTGTCCCGAATTCGATTCCCACCCACGGCCACCACCACCACTGGTGACCATTATCTGAACCAGTCCTGGGCCTCTCCCCTCTAGGTCGACTCGGCCACAAAATGAGTACACCTGGTGCGGTGTGTAGCAAACATCGCTGCTGGGGAGACAGGCGGGCCGGGTGTGCTGGCTAACAGCACTTGCCCCAACAGTCTGTTTAGGCTATACAGTCGGGGGGGGGGGATCTTTGTCTTTGTGAGTGAGCAGAGTAGGTGGGTGACGAGGCCTTGGCTGGACCTACTAGGCCTAGGCTGGGCCTACTAGGCCTAGGCTGGGCCCACGAGAGCCTTGGCTGGGCCTACTAGGCCTAGGCTGGGCACACGAGACAAGGCCCGAGGCTCCAGGCCGGGCGATGTCGCCAGCCGCCGTCTGCGCATGCGCAAGGCGATCGCGCGCGAGATACGAAACCCCCGGGGGGTGGAGGGTGGAGGGCGGGGTGTGGGGGGTGTCTCGCGCTCCACTGGAAATGATGCGGCTGTGAGAGACCGAGGGGAGGGGCTGTGGGGAGGGGCGGGTAATTTATCAAGGGGGGTCGGGAGAGGCTGTGGTGGGGGGGGGTATTGTAGCGGCAGGGGCTGTGGGGGACTGAGGGGAGGGGCTGTGGGGGGGGGGTGGTATACGGGGGCTCCTCTAGTTACGAACATTCGACTTACGGACTTTTAGAGATACGAACGAAGCTGTTCCGTATTGGCCAGTTGCCTGCTGGGACCGAGAGTCATAAGTACAACCGCCGCGCGATTGATGGCGGTGGTGGCATCTGCAGAACGTGAAGAACCACTGGCATCTACATCTGCAGAACCAGTGGCATCTACATCTGCAGAACCAGTGGCATCTACATCTGCAGAACCAGTGGCATCTACATCTGCAGAACCAGTGGCATCTACATCTGCAGAACCAGTGGCATCTACATCTGCAGAACCAGTGACATCTACATCTGCAGAACCAGTGGCATCTACATCTGCAGAACGTGAAGAACCAGTGGCATCTACATCTACAGAACGTGAAGAAGCAGTGACATCTACATCTGCAGAACGTGAAGAACCAGTGACATCTACATCTGCAGAACGTGAAGAAGCAGTGGCATCTACATCTGCAGAACGTGAAGAACCAGTGGCATCTACATCTACAGAACGTGAAGAACCAGTGGCATCTACATCTGCAGAACATGAAGAACCAGTGACATGTACATCTACGGAACGTGAAGAACCAGTGACATCTACAGAACGTGAAGAACCAGTGATATCTACAGGAGATTAGACAACTTTTAAAGCAATTCCCCGTGTTTAGTGTACACACCATACAACATGTTTGGAATCGACGGGTAGTAAATTTGGACTTACAACTCGACTTACGAACAGTACCTCTGGATTCATATTATTTGGTTCTTTCGGTAAAGTCACGGAGATAGAAAAATAATAATAAAGTTAATTTTAAAAAATTACGTTTTGATCGCAACACAAGCGATCGTCATCAGGAAACGGGGGGTTATAGCAAACTGTTTATAGAGGTTTAAAATGGGCGTAGCCCAGAGGTCGCAAACGGGTTTTGATTCCTTACCCGGCTACCCGTACCCGGCCGGGTACGGGTACCCGTTCCCTACCCGTACCCTACCCGAAATGAGTGACAAACGGTTACTCACCAGTGACTCACGGCCTACCCGTACCCGTACCCAGCTGCACCAGGGTCGCAAACGGCTACCTGTACCCATACCCGGCCGGGTACGAGTAGCCGGGTATCGGGTAGGGTACGGGTATCGGGGACCCGGTTGCGACCTCTGGCGTAGCCCAAGTGTCAGCAGCATGGGCGGGGCAGCTGATGTTAACGTAAGTGATGGTAGTAGATGGTAACGACAGCACAGGTGGTGGGTTTCCACCAATTAAAGGGCTGCCAGGTAATCATTGCACCTCGCTTTACACACCCACACTGTTGATGGTGGAGATTGCTGCTAGTGGTGATGGTAGTCGTGGGTAATGATGGTCGCGGTGGTGAGCTTCCACCAATTAAAGGGCTGCCAGGTTTAAAATGGAAACATTACAGCCAGTTATGACTTAAACTGGTTGATAACGTCCTTCCAGCGATTGCTGAGTTTGTACCCATCTTCTCGGTTTAAATTGTGTCTGTCTGTATATGTGGATGACTTCAAGTACGAATCTTTGTTGATGGCCAGTGGGTTTGCAAAGTACTTTCGTCTTAGAGAAATCAATTTCGCGTGAAATCGCTGCAAATATCAAAAGCGTTAAATTACCAGTCAGTATAATCAGTAAGGGTGAGCGTACCTTCGTTTGGCTACAACCGGAGATACGGGAGAACCCATTGGGGTGCCTTCAGTTTGTTTGTAGAATGTTCCATTCCAGGTGAAGTAAGTGTTGGTGAGGCAGTGTCTCACCAGGAGCCGGTACATCAGCATTCAATCCATGTTGGACCAAATCTTCAATGATTGCAATGGTGTCGGGAACAGGAACTTTGGTGGACAAATAAACTACTTCGAAACTAACGAGCAAATCACCTGGGGACAGTGAGATGTCCTTAATTGATGATACCAGGTGAGCTGAGTTAAGTACAGAAGAGGTGGTCTTACCAGTGAATGGTTGCAAGGTCGCAGACAGATATCGGGCCAGTTTGTAGGTGGGTGAGTCAATGGTGGAGACGATGGGATGAAGGGGTGTACCCTCTTTATGGATTTTTGGTAAGCCATATAATCTGGGTGGTCTCGCAACAGAAGGTTTTAAGGAAAACCGTTTGGTCTGTTCAATTAATGAAGCTGAATCAGTGATGATACTATTCGTTTTTGTAACGAAGTTGTTGGTGGGATGGATCTCTTTCATTTTTTGTGTAGCTACCGTCATTAAGTAGGTCCTGAATTTTGTTGTTGTACACGGTTTTGTCCATGATGACCGTGGCATTGCCCTTGTCGGCTGAGAGGATGACGATATCATCCCTCTTTTTCAATTGATATAACTCAAAACGCTCATCCTTACTGATGTTGCTGACTGGTATCTTAGCGCTTTTGATATTTGCAGCGATTTCAGATCTTGTCACGTCTGCTGCGATGTGTCCCAAACCCTTAAGGGCTACATTAATGCAGCTGGCTCACACGAAATTGATTTCTCTAAGACGAATGTACTTTGCAAACCCACTGGCCATCAACAAAGATTCATTTATGAATCCATCCATGTATAGACATAGACACAATGTCAACCGAGAAGATGGGTACAAACTCACCACTAGCAGTAGCCCTTTACTGTACCATCATTACCCACGACTACCATCACCTCTAGCAGCAACCTCCACCGTCAACAGTGTGGGTGTGTAAAGCGAGGTGCAATGATTACCTGGCAGCCCTTTCATTGGTGGAAACCCACCACCTGTGCTGCCGGTACCATCTACTACCATCACTTACATTAATGTAATGGGTTCCGGAGACACTTGTAGAGGTAACTTCTTTATTACAATTCAACACACCAACAGTCCTGATACTCTGTTACAGCTCCCAGGTACACAGCCTAGGTACACAGCCTAGATACACTACTCTGGCTACGCTCTGGGGTCCTCTGGCTACAATTACCCTAGGGGACGCTACCTGACCCGACCCAGTCAAGGTGCGGGACTGGACTCTGGCTTCCTCGGAACTCGCCCTTACAAGGACGTAGAGCCGGGAGTCCCAGAGTCCCACCACTGGCCCTCACAGCGTCCCGGCCCTTACAAGGACAAGCGGGACGAGGGGGTCCAGGGTCCTAAGCTGGTTGGTCTTGGGTCTTGGGTCTTGAGCTGCGACTGGCCTCGATCGGCCAGGGAGCTGCCCTTTTATGCCTCGTCCCCAACGAGGGGTGGGGTTGTGTGCGCCCCCAGATATCCCACAGAGCACACACAGCCCCCCCCCCCCCCCGTTGGTGGCGCCAAGGGGCTTAAGCGTCTGGGTTGCCTGGGATCCTAGCGCCTGGCGCCAAGGGGCTTATCTGTCTAGGGTCCCAGAGCCCCCAGCAGCCCCTCCCCTCTTATGACACTACATTAACATTAGCTGCCCCGCTGATGCTGCTACAACTGAGCTAAGCCCATGTTAAACCTTTACCTGGCAGCCCTTTAATTGGTGGAAACCCACCACCAATGCCGCCGTTTCCCATCGCTTACTTAAACATCAGCTGCCCCGCCCATGCTGCTGATACTTGGGCTACGCGCATTTTAAACCTCTATAAACAGTTTGCCTTTAGAGGCTATAACCCCGTTTTCCTGATGACGACAGCTTGTGTTGCGATGGAAACGTCGTAGTTTCTATTTATTTTTTTATTATTTTTATGCATTTTATTATTATTTTTCTTCTTCTATTTCCGTGACTTTACCACAGAGGTCACAACCGGGTACCCGATACCCGTACCCTACCCGATACTCGGCTACCTGTACCCGGCCGGGTACGGGTAGCCGTTTGCGACCCTGGTGCGGCCGGGTACGGGTACGGGTAGGCCGTGAGTCACCGGTGAGTAACTGTTTGTCACTCATTTCCCGAAGTCTTGTCTCTTCTCACAATTCAAGTTCCTAGAATCAACCCACCCGCGCCTGCAACATGGCTTCATCCCAGAGGTCGCAATCAAGTACCCGATACCCGTACCCTACCTGTACCCGGTCGGGTACGGGTATGGCCGGGTACGGGTACCCGTTTGCGACCCTGGTGTGGCCGGGTACGGGTACGGGTAAGGAATCAAAACCTGTTTGCGACCTCTGCTTTACCGAAAGAACCAAAGAATATGAATTCCTGCAGTC